TTTCTCAGGTGGCTTAGTCCTAGTCTTTATAACCCTGTACCTTCTTCCAGAAGGCAGAAGCTGAAAGAGATCATTTCTGGGGTGCGTACTATCCTGCGCTATATCTGCAGCTTTCTTATGACACCTGGAAGCATAGATTTGATCCAGGGTGGGATGAGTGCACCCAGTTATTATCTCCGCAGTCTTTACAACTCTTTACAAGCCTCTTGCTGTCAGAAAGTCCTTCCTGATGAGTATTTGTGAAGACCAGACGGCGTTTGTAGGTTTACAAGAAGTTCTGTGAGGAGTATTATTGGAAGTATTGCAAAAATAGATAAGGGGAAGGATTAATTGTTAAGAGACTTAAAGGCAATATAAAGTTAAATGTATAAGAAGTGGATAAAACGGTGGATTATCAGATGTGCTGATGGAAGTCTAAAAAGATTGTATATGTGCTAAGTTTTGTGGTACATTTTATAATTTATATGTTAAAATCGATAAAAATTATTATATATAAAACAGAAAGTCCTTCCTGATGTGTAGTCGAACTCTCCTTTCCTGTAACTTGGAGGATGGAAAGATGTGTCTGTAAATGTCTGACTTTGGGTTGACCTGTTGCACAAGGTTAGAGTCACATCCATAGTTTCAAACACTTTTGCCTTGCCCGCCACTGACATGGAACCCCAGGAAGCTTCCTCGTGAAGAAAAGCGGTCCTTGGGTTGAAATGTTTTCCCACCCCTGTCCTAGAACACTTGCCCACTTCTTAGTTCTTCCCTCTCCATGGACCCATTTCATAGATCCCACCTCTGCTTGCATCCTGTGCTATTTCATCTCTAGCCTGTGGGCACACGCCAGGAGTGTTCAGAGTATTCCAGTAAGGTCACCATCTCCACGTTGGGAAATGCTTTGGCAACCCTGCGAGCTGCATCAATCATATGTGCAATAAAGTGTTGACTTTAATTGGTGATAGACAGAGGGGAAATTTCCGGACAGAGCCCTTGGTAATTTCCACTGTTGTTGACTGTGTGTAGATAGGTAGTTTTCTTTTGAAGTTCAGTGGATGGCTCAGGAGTTCCAATTTAATAATAGAACAAGGTTGCTAAACTACCTTCAGGTGGGCTGTCGGGGGCGGGGGTTTGGGGATTGCAGCCTGTCAGTCCTGCTCTAAAACTTTTATTTGCTCCTCAGAAGCAATGGCTGAAGAAAGTCATTTGGTGTATCCTCAGCCAGTTCTTAATTGCATAGAAGAACATCAGCAGAAATAACAGCAGAACCTGGCTTCATGAGTGCTACGATTGGGATTGAGTTTTTGCCAGCATAATGGTAATGGGAAGAGGCTAGCCAAGCAAACTATTTACTGCGTTTATATAGCAATAACAGGAGTACTCTGGTGGTTTGCAGAGCAAGAATAAAACGAAAACAAGAATTCTATTATTTTTGTACGCGGCTTAGAAGGTTTTTTTTCCTCCTGATGAAGCGGTTTATATTTTTTCTAAATGAATAAAATAAAAATAAACAGTCACAAATTGTTTAAACTTGCTGCTGGGCATTGTGTTATGCTTCTGTAAAATGTTTTAAAAGCAATGTAGCTCAAGCATGAGACTCTTAATCTCAGGGCTGTGGGTTCAAGCCCCACACTGGGTGAAAGATTCCTTCATTGCAGGAGGTTGGACTACATGATCCAGGTTGTCCCTTCCAGCTCTATGATTCGATGTGCCTTTTGCATGTAGCCAACATAGTTTACAGCCTGCATAAATTCTCATCAATTTTGTCATCCAGAATCATCTGCTTGCATGTGCTTTTAATTCCCCATTTCTCTATGTGGTACTGTAAATTCTGAGTTCGGATTACATTGGGTTGTATCTAACAAAGTTTCCCCAAAGGACTTTGGTTTGCACAATGGAACTTCCCCTCCCCTTCCTGCACACTCCCTGTGTCCTCCCCCCCCCAAAAAATGGTCTGGTCCAGAAGCTGGTCCCCAGAAAATATTGGGAGTATATGATAGGAGGAGAGGGAGGGGAAATTGCACTGTACAAGCAGAAGTCATTGCAAGAACATCCTTGGAAGCAACTCAGTGACACCAGTCTACATTGCTAGATTACTTGATTCTTCTACCTAGGCTATGTCACTTATGCATGGGCATGTCCTGGTTTTCAGCTATGAAGCACCATAGGATTTGGTTCTGTGTAGATCAGCCACGGGACGCAGGTGGCACTGTGGTCTAAACCACTGAGCCTCTTGGGCTTGCCGATCAGAAGGTCGGCGGTTCGAATCCCTGTGACGCAGTGAGCTCCCGTTGCTAGGTCCCAGCTCCTGCCAACCTAGCAGTTCAAAGCACACCTAAAAAAGTGCAAGTAGATAAATAGGTATCATTCTGGTGGGAAGGTAAACAGTGTTTCCGTGTGCTGCTCTGGTTGCGCCAGAAGCCGCTTAGTTATGCTGGCCACATGACCCGGAAAAACTGTCTGCGGACAAATGCCGGCTCCCTCGGCCTGTAAAGCGAGATGAGCGCCGCAACCCCAGAGTCGTCTGCGACTGGACTTAACTGTCAGGGGTTCTTTACCTTTAGATCAGCCACTGGCATTCTCCTGCACTAACACAGCCTGAATGTACCCAGCATATCACGCTTATTGGGCAGAAGTCACAACATGAGACTTACTGTGTTTACTCTGACAAAAGTTTACTCTGGAAAATCCACAGAATGGCTGAATTGCTACTGTTCTGATTTAGGGTGATAGCAGTTATTCTTAGATTTGACGCATTGAAATCACTGGACAAACAACTTAAAGCGGTTGATTCTAATGGATCCACCCTGAGTATGACTTAGTTGGATACATATGATACCGCTCTTTGTTTTCTCTTTTCCTGCACAAACCTGGCATTTTTTCACAGCAAGGGGTTGAAACAAGTTTGTTGTGGGTTTTTTTTTTTAACTGGGGTTGGATTCATTCCTGAAACAAGTACAAATCTTCTGTCTCCATAAAATAGGTAACTCTCGTGCCAAATTAAATGAAATTTTATGATGTGCTTCCCGTCTCATTAAAACAGGCAATACTTATTCCTGATAACAAAGTCTCTGCCTAATTCATGACAGTTATGCCTTATGACAAGCAATTTTAGCTTGCCAAGGCTTCCACTAGTCCTTTGCTCCTATTTGGCAAGTCAACTGCAGGGCAGTCTTCCAGCAGGAAGAGTATGGCAGCCTCATTGGGCTGGATCCGTGTCAGCCCATTTTGTATGATGGAGGTATTTCACCACTTTATGGATTAAGGCAAAAGTGTTGCAGAGCTTATAAATCACTCAGTCATTGAGTTAGGCAAAAGCTTCCATTCAACTGGTGAATTTTATATTCTAAACAAATAATAATAATAATAATAATAATAACGCTTAGTTCTAGTAATTTTGAAGAAAATATATGTTGCATAGTCCAATATATATTGTTCATTTCACTTTTTTCTTGCATTTTGCTTTGTGACAATGTGTGTGTAGTGATGCTAACTAAAATAAACAAGGTAAGAAAGATAATACGCTCTTTTAAAAGCCTATATCAATTTCGTTAGGTCTTCAGTTTTGGGTATCATTTAACAGAGCAGCAGTTTTTTGGCAAGTCAAACGCTCATGCTTTGTCTTTGGGTGTGTACACTGAAGTGTGTTTGACTCTTGCAGATGAGCAGCTCAGAGTTTCGCACCAGTATTACTGATCGCTTTTGTTCTGGTGTCCAAACATCTGCCTCAGATTTAATGTTGTTGCTAGCAACACTTAGAATTAGAGGTATAAATCCTCAACCCCTTGCTGGAGATTTAGCTTCTGTCCTTTTGACAAAGTGCCGTGTTGAAGCTATATACTTGTTCTTTGTTACTGATGTGTGCATGTGTCCATAGAGGTCTTCACACATTTGAAACGGCAACTCTGCATGGGAAACAAACAGAAGTTTCTGTTACAGTTGAAATTTTGAATAAAAAGAGACCTCAAATGACCTCCAGATTTCTTCCAAAATATGCTTTAATTGACTAGCACCTATTGTATCAGACCTGTGAAGTGTTGGCCTCAGCCCTGTTTTGCCTGCATATATGCTATACATATATGGTATAGCATATATATATGCTATACATATATGCTATACATATATGGAGCCTCAGCTTCAGGATTTGTCCTTCCAGTGAGCACTCAGGGCTAATTTCCTTAAGAAAAAAATGCATCCATTCTTAAGGAAACTAGCCCTGAGTGCTCACTGGAAGGACAGATCCTGAAGCTGAGGCTCCAATACTTTGGCCACCTCATGAGAAGAGAAGACTCCCTGGAAAAGACCCTGATGTTGGGAAAGAAGGAGAAGGGGACGACAGAGGACGAGATGGTTGGACAGTGTTCTCGAAGCTACAAACATGAGTCTGACCAAACTGCGGGAGGCAGTGGAAGACAGAAGTGCCTGGCGTGCTCTGGTCCATGGGGTCACGAAGAGTCGGACACGACTAAACGACTAAACAAATGCTATACATATGACATACTTGCCTGCAGAGAATAGCACTTTTGCATTATATTGTGCCACAAGGCTGTTGGGTAAAGATGCATTTTCATTGTTTTAAAATAGCACTAATGTTTTCAGAAATAGCAAACTGCTTATACGAAACAATCCATTGGCGGGTCACATTTGCCTAAGGCCATGAATGTGTGAAGGGAAAGAGAGGCATCTCTACTTAGAGTACCTTTATTATTATTTTGTCTTGATCTTATTGCATTCACGACCAAATACAGTCATACCTTGGTTGTCGAACGGAATCCTTTCCGGAAGTCCTTTTGACTCCCGAAAACGTTTGACAACCAAGGCACGGTTTCCGATTGGCCACAGGACCTTCCTGCACGCGATCGGAAACCGCGTCGGACGTTTGGGTTCCAGAGAACGTTTGCAAACCAGGATACTCAGTTCTGGGTTTGTGGTGTTCGGGAGCCAAAACGTTTGAGTCGCAAGGCGTTCGGAATCCAAGGTACGACTGTAGGTACTTTGTGCCTTATTATGAAAGTATCAGATATCTATCTATCTGTGTGTGTGTGTGTGTGTGTGTGTGTACACACACACACACACACACACACACACACAGTGGTACCTCACATTAAGTACTTAATTCGTTCTGGAGGTCCGTACTTAACCTGAAACTGTTCTTAACCTGAAGCACCACTTTAGCTAATGGGGCCTCCTGCTGCTGCCACGCCGCCAGAGCCCGATTTCTGTTCTCACCCTGAAGCGTATGTAACCTGAGGTACCACTGTATATGTATGTATATATGAGAATATTCTCCACAAACTGTAAATTCTAATGTAAGAACCAGTTTTACAACCCACATTTAAAAAATCTAGTAAATAATAAGTTAAGCTGTCATATTGCCAGTGTAAGTAACAAATCCAGTTACATTACTTGGCATTGTGTCATTCACCATTGGCTGTTCTGAAATGTGATTAACATGAGTCATTCACGTTGAATTTTCAGTTTCAAGTTTGGTGCAACAAAAAATCAAATAATGTGAATTCACTGCATTGCCCCATTGAATAAAAGTATCTGTACAGTTTTTGATTGCCATCTGAACATGTTTACCCATGAATAAACATGTATATTAACTAATTATATCATTTTCACTGCATTAAAATTATATCATTTTCAATGCATTAAAATGAATATCCTCCTGTTTTAAATAAAAATTCTCTAATATTCTCATTAATCGAGAATAATCTTTTGGAGAATATTCTGCAGAATATTCTAGAAAATTTAACATCACTATTTGCATGTATATACAACCTGAGTCAAAGATGGAGGGGATCACAGCATTTGCACTCCCAAAAGGTCTTGCTTCCCCCATGGATTCCAGCAGAAGTCCTGCATGGTACTGTCTCTCTAGCTGCAACCTGCTCCCTGCTCTCAGCTCTCATACACAAAACCCTGGCCCTGGCTTTTGTCTTTTAACCACCAGTCAGGTGAGGAGAGGGCAGCCCACCAATTTGCCCTCTGGCACAGAGCAACGTCTTTTGTTACACTGTGTCCTTAGGGTTATTAATTCACAAAGAAACTTGCCTGACTAGTTCAACAATGGAATTCTCCATTAGATTTCAAGCCAGGATCTGGGGCCCCAAGAAGTTGAAGGGACTCTGGCACCATATAGACTAACCTTGCTCCAGAACCTATCACAACACCAACACAACAGCTGCGATTTTGAATGCATGTGGAAATTCCCACCCAGGGCAGCTTGGTGGAGCTGCGCGTTTTTGAAAAAAATCTGCGCTTGTGCAAGCTGCAACACACATGTCTTGTGCCTGCATTCCAGGTGCAGTTTCTTTGTCGAGGTTTCTAGGTGACATTGCATATTTTGGTGATGGTGAGGCTGTGTCAAAGCATTAGGAGGGGCTTTTCAGTAGGGAAGCTTTTAAAATACCTTAAACTTTCTGGTTCCCCCTGCTATCCCATGTGGGCTGTCAAAAATTAATATGAAATAGAGTACTTTGGAACCAACCAGTTAACAGCATCTTCTATATTGAATTTTTTTGCAGTTAAAAGTTAATTGTTTTCATGCATTCCAATTATACTTTCGGAGCATAACTCTGGGAACTTGCCATCTTATAACTAAATAGCTTTTGCATTGTGCATTTATGAGGAGCTGGTTCATAGCAACAGGTGAACAGCTTCATGGCTTTCAAAAGGTCAGTTTTTGTGTCTGTTGGCAGAGGACACTTTGCTTGCTTGAGTTGGAGTGCAAAATCCACCTTTGCGAGTGAGATTTCCATTAAAAGTTTTTTGGCTCTTGGGGGGAATGAGAAATAGGGGAAGCCTCATGGTTGATAGTGTGTAGAACAGTCTTTCCATAGCCTGTTGCCCTGCACTTGTTTCGGACTACAATTCCCATCATCCCGTGTCTGCATGGCCAATAGTATGGGATGATAGGCATTGTAGTCCAGAACATCTGGAGGGCAACAGGGTGGGGAAGGGTAGTATAAGATTTCCACTTGATTAAAGCAGATCACAATGTTAATTATTTGTGACAGGTTGATACAATATCTCTCTATTTCCTTTTAATGGACTGCTCATCACCCTTCTAACACATACAGAAAAGACTGTTACATGCCTCCTCCTCATACCTCTCATTCAAAATTAAAATACCATTGGCTTCCAATCGTTAGAAAGACTTCCCTTGTTTTTCAAACCAGTGTTATCAAGCATTTGTATGGCTTCTTTTCCACAGCTTTGCATGCATTCCTCAACTTGGTGTCCTCTGGATGCTCTGGACTGATGGGAGTTGTAGTCCAAATCACCAGGTTGAGGAAAGCTGGTCTAAGTAATCCTGTAACACCACCACAAGATAGGTCAGGCATAGGCAAACTCGGCCCTCCGGATGTTTTTGGGACTACAACTCCCATCATCCTTAGCAAACAGGACCAGTGGCCAGGGATGATGGGAATTGTAGTCCCAAAACATCTGGAGGGACGAGTTTGCCTATGCCTGAGATAGGTCGTTGGGCGATGTTTAGAACTGAAGTGAGATTTAAAGCAGAGACTTCCTGGATCTCACCCTGTCATGGTTTTAAAATGTTTTGTGGTTTTAACATTTTATTTTAAAATGTTTGCATCAGTAAAATACCTATGCTTGAAGAGTCATCCTTAGCTACCAACTAATATAATAAGGAATCAAATTTAAACACTACTCTTTTATGATCTGAAGCTCAGTCTGTTAGGATAATTCTTTCCGTAAGTTAAACCTAGTGTCAGTGAAAAGTGAGAGACAGCAGGGATGTGTGTGTGTGTGTATATATATACATACACACACACACACACACACACACACACACACACACATACACACACACACACACACCCGTATTTTTTGCTCTATAAGACGCACCAGACCACAAGACGCACCTAGTTTTTGGAGGAGGAAAACAAGAAAAAAATATTCTGAATCTCAGAAGCCAGAACAGCAAGAGGGATCGCTACGCAGTGAAAGCAGCAATCCCTCTTGCTGTTCTGGCTTCTGGGATAGCTGTGCAGCCTGCATTCGCTCCATAAGACGCACACACATTTCCCCTTACTTTTTAGGAGGGAAAAAGTGAGTCTTATAGAGTAAAAAATACGGTATATTCTTCTGGCTGTGTATAGCTTTCCTGAGCACACTTCCAAGTTTTTATAAAATGCACGCAGCCGTAAAATATCACCTTCGTGGCTGTGTTTGCTGTTCTTCCAAATGTAAGCGACATTCCTTCTTGTGCACCTGCACCATAAATCAGCGAGTAATGAGCTGTTTTACTGTTACGATTATGGGTTTGTAATTTGGTAGAGGCTAAAATATAGCAAATAGAACTGGTGCAGTTGAAGCATCAGTAAATGTATATAGTTTCCATGCATTTATTTATTTACTTGTATTCCCCCCCCCCCGTTGTCGTTTCCTTTTTATCATAAATTAAAAACAATGCTGCAGATTAAACCCAGTAATTCCAAACAACCAAAGCAAATTATAACTTCTTCTGTTTTTAAGGGCAGCAGGAGGAAGCAATAAAACAGTGAAAACTCAGCAGAGGTGTATTTGTTTTTTTAAACAGTCCTCAGCTTTCCTCTTCCCTTTAAAACAAACACATTTGGAAGATGGCGCTGCAGTAAACTTCTCTATGCCTGTATGACATGCCCTCCCCCTGTGACTTGAAGTTCAATTTGTACTGCCTGGTAGATCTCTCCTTTTGCCTCCCTGTAACCCTACCCCTTCCCTGTGCCGTAGCTCCTCATATCTGATATCCAGAAGAGACTGACATATGGAAAGTTACCAGGTATTCATATTGATTTAGAATAATTTATTCAGAGTTCACAAGCTCAGTTTTCTAGGGATTTCCTTCATGCTGTGATGCCTGGTGGTTGGTGCCCATGGTGGCTGGCAGGGCAGAAGGCAGAGAGGTCATAGTCGGACAAACCACAGCCAGTGGCAGGCAGTCTGGTTTTGTCCCCATCCTCCTCTTTGTCCTCTTTGTCCTCCTCTTTGTCATGACAGAGAGGCCTTTCCACACTAAGTTGTAGTGGTATCATTCCTGTTAACAACGTTTTTAAGGGTGAATGTACAGCTGTTTGTCTGTACCTTTGGTCCCATGTCATTGTTATATGAGAGTGAGTGCAGTGTTTTCCTCTCCATGGTAATGGTGGGTTGAGCTGTGAAGAAACTTGACATTTTGTCTCTCATAAGGCGTCCTGGGTCTAGTCATTTAGGTGCCACAAGCACCAAAATTCTGTTGTTTTGAGAGCCGAAGAGTACAGAGTCAAAGAAAAAGCAGAAGCCCTTAGTGGTTGGCTGGACTGTATCAATTCAGACTGCAAGCCTTGTATTGAGTGACTGAATGCTCCCTTCCGCAAAAAAAAGAAGCTCTCTGCATCTGTAAATGTAGGAGCTGACCTAAAATTAAAGGGACCATTAGGTCCGACTCTGGGGTTGCGGCGCTCATCTCACTTTACTAGCCAAGGGAGCCAGCATGACTAAGCCGCTTCTGGCAGACCAGAGCAGCGCACGGAAACGCCATTTACCTTCCCGCCGGAGCGGTACCTATTTATCTACTTGCACTTTGACGTGCTTTCGAAGTGCTAGGTTGGCAGGAGCAGGGACCGAGCAACGGGAGCTCACCCCGTCGCAGGGATTCGAACTGCCGACCTTCTGATCGGCAAGTCCTAGGCTCTGTGGTTTAACCCACAGCGCCACCTGCGTCCCAGGAGCTGACCTAGAACCTCCTTATCTTTATGGGAAAGGGAGCATTTTATGTAAGCAGTATTCTGGCATCCAATCCCAAATTGCAATCTGCAATGGTACAGTTGAGCAACAAGTTAGCTAGCCATCTTGTGGTTGCTTCTTATCTACGTTGGCACTCCCTACAAAAAGTCTCGCTTGGGCCTGCTCTTTTTTCTATGTGTGTAGAAGACAAATATCATCCAACTATATATGCAAAAAGTCTTAATGCATTGCCATTGCAAAGCTGTTATCATTCCATCCATTAATGTGGCTTTTATGACATGCCAGTGTATCATGGGTAATGTTAGCTGGCAATTTCTCCCGCAGCCATTGGTAATCTTGTTCTTTGTTGACTCAAACTTGCTTACCAGACG